CTCATTTTCTATAAGTACTGGTCTTGTTATCATCTTTTGTTTAAAATATAGTAAACTTAAGTATTGTACATGTTCGTTTTCATATAAATTATTTATACACATTTGGTCTGATAATGTACCAAGTACTAAATGGATAAGATTTGGATACAAAAGTCAAGATTAAGTCAAAAGTACAGATATGGAGTAAAAATTTTTCTTAATTTTGCATTTTAAAAATACAAGTGAAGATAATATGATATTATGCCCATGTGTGAAGTGTGCTAATATCAAGTGGCAAATGCGTTAAGTTGTTTTTGAACATTTAATTTGTATTGGATTTATTTCAGGATATGTTAATTGGTATTTTCATGGAGAGTCTGTACCATCAAGATTTTCCACTAAAGTTCTTTCAACTTCAAGGGCTTCCCAACACCATCATGATCCTTTTATAGCAGATGATATTGAAGGCATGTTGCGAGATGCTTTTAACATTCATAAGCAACATTTTCGTAATTTTCTCTCTAAAATGAAGGATTTAATTAGTCCAATTTTGAAATGAATGAATTTGGTAAACCTGAGATAAGTGTACGTGACCAACAACCTAGAAGAGAAGCATCAAAGTTTTATAGGTTGCTTAAGGATATGAATGAAAAACTTTATGAGGGATCAAATCATTCAAGGTTATCTTTCTATGTTCATCTTTTTCATTTGAAATGCTTGTGTGGATGGACGAAAAACTCTCTGACTTTATTATTAAAGTTTATGAAAGAAATATTTTCTTTTGCAAAAATCTTTGAATCTTGTAAGAAATCAAAAAAGATGATCAAAGATTTAAGTCTCGGATATAAGAAGATTCATAGTTGTCCCAATGATTGCATATTGTATTGGGGGATAGAAAAAATCAAGAATCTTATCATTTGTGTGGTATTTCTCATTGGGTGGACAAAAATTTTGATGAACGGTTAAATGAGGATGGTAATGAGGCATATGTCAAAAAAAAACCTGTTAAGGTTTTAAGTTATTTTTCATTAATACCAAGACTTCAACGACTCTTCATGTCTTCCAAAATCGCAGATTCAAGGATGTGGCATCATGAGAAACGGACAGATGATGGATCATTAAGACATCGTATAGATTTTTTGGCATGAAAATCATTTCATTCTAGGTTTTCAAACTTTGCATCTGATTCTCAAAATGTTAGGCTTGGACTAGCATCTAATGGATTCAACTCATGCAAAATGATGAGTACTTCTTATAGTACTTGGCCAGTTGTATTGATTTCTTACAATTTGTCACTATGGATTGCTATAAAGCAACAATTATTTATATTGTCTATGATAATTCCTATGGCAAAAAGTCCGGGTAATGATATAGACAACTACTTACAATCTTTTATTAAAGAGTTAAAGCAATTATGGGAAGGAATTGAGACCTATGATGCATAAAAAAAAAAGAACTTCAATATGCATGCTGCTTTATTATAGACTATTAACGATTTTCCCACTTATGCGAATTTATTTGGTTGGAGCACAAAAGGTCATTATGCTTATCCATGTTGTGTTGTACAGACATGTTCGAAGTGGTTACCTAATGGTAGGAAGTTCTGTTATATAGTTTCAATCATCTCGTGAGTTAACTTTGTGGAAGATGGTGATGAAGTTAGTTTTTTACAATAGTACAATTTATTACTTTGTTTAAGCATTATTTTTTACTTTAAAAATATTTGGAATAACACATGTGAATGAAGCATGACTTATTACTTACAGGAGCCATTTGTTAAGGATAATTCCACACTTCAAATCAAATGCAATTTTAACTTGTAAAACTTAAATTGTATCATTCAAGGTTTGTTTCGAGACAGGGCGTCAAGAAATGAAACACATATCAATAGTTGGCATGCTTAACAAGTGATGTACGTTTCATAATTTGAAAATAAAAAGGTGTAGTGAAAGTTTTTATTATTTTTGTATTACAATATATTTTTTAATCGTATTAATTGACTTATTTTTTCTCGTGTTTGCTCATTTTGTAGGGAATCAAACGCAAATTACCTTTTTTTTGGAATTGTGGATCTTTAGTTTGGTGTTTTTTTTATTCATTTATTTTTATGTCAATAAATTTGGAGCTTGTACATATAGATTTTTTACCTGAATATTGTAAGTATTTTAATGGAATGTAATTTATATTTCAAATTTTACTTTGAATATTATTTTTTATACCCTAATGAATATAAATGGAATATTTAGAAATTAATCTTGCACATTCTTTATCTATGTATTTATTTTGCATATAATAATTATAATATTAATAATAGTAATAACAATAACAATAACAATAACAATAATAATTATTATAATTAGTAAAAGTTGATATTGTTTTGTGACATAATAAATTTAATGGTCACAAATGTGGCAATTCCAAAAATGTAATTCAAATATTTAATTTAATAATTAAATTTTTTAATGACGACATTTTCCTCACAAATAATATTTAATATATGTGACAACTTATTTTAAACACTATTTAAATGTATATTTGTGTCAAGATGTTTGATACTAATAGAAATAATAGTAATGTCAATAAATTTTTGTCACTATTATTATCTTTTTTCGAGTAAAAAAAAGTTGTCATTAAAAAATTGAATAGTTGTGGCGATTTTATGAAAATCGTCAGTAATACAATTTGTGACGGCAAATGACAACCTAAGAAAGTCATCACTATACATTTTATTGACCAAATTTTAAGTTATCAATACCATTTTCACTGTCACTAAAAACTCGTTTTCTCGTAGTGAAGGTATGTCAACGATATCAGAGCTAAGAAAATTTTTGGTTACCCATCAACTACATCAACCTCAACCTCCAATGGCAAACCAAACCAATGTTCACCAACCAGTTGCTATAGACATGCTAGGTGGACAAAGAAATGAACCCATAGGCAAAAAGAGGGTATGATTAGGTGAGATACATTTACATGTATTTTATATTTCAAAAAATAACTAATATGAACTTAAGTGAAAAGTATTAAAATCTTTGTGGCTATAATAGTGTTTTGAAAACAACATTTTATGTGAATGTGTCACGCAAGTGTATTAGATGAGTATGTGCAGTCTTTCCCTTTTACTTTTTATAATACACAATTATATTCGAATGTTTTATATTTGTATATTGATAGAGTATTGAATTTTTAATTTTTTAATTTTATTTTTATTAATAGTAGTATAGTATTGATAAAATATCGGATTTGTAATTTTTGAAAATTTATCTTTGTCAGATTTATTAATAGAATATTATATTTATGATTTATTAATAAAATATTATACTCCTATATAATTTTAGTTATAGTTGTATTTTATTATAGTTTTAATTAGAATTTAATTTTTGACAATTTAAAATATATAAAAAAAAACGATTTAATTTTCAACTGCAACATGGATGTAATTTATTTTATAGACAAGTTGGGGGCAATATGGATCATTAATATTTTATTATATTTGCCATTATTTATTATAACTAAGGGTGGGTATTATTTACAACTAAGTATCTAGTTAAGGAGTTGGTGCATATATTTTAGTTTAGACGTTGGTGCATACAATTCTTTGTACCTTAGAAAACGTAAGGTTTGAATTTTTTTTCTTTTTTTTGGATCAGAAAAAAAGAATTATGCTTGATTCAATTCTCAAAATAACAGGGTTCAATCTTCTTCTCGAAATAAAAAAATAAAAGTACATGTATTTTATTCATTCACGTTGGAATCTCCTTCTCTAAATTAAGAAAAGAAAATGTTAATAATATTATTTTCATTTTCATTAAAAAAATGTTAATAATAAAGTTTTGGTAGGGATTGTTGACGGTGGTGGATTAGGTGGAGATTGCCCTGGGCCCACGAGAACGATGTGGGGTTGAGGTCGATGGGGGCTCTGCCCAGGGTCCCCCACCAACCCTTACCTTTTTGGGATTCACAATTTTGCATTTCATTTTTTAGTTTATGAATTTGGAATGTCATTAATGGGACCAAAAGCCCATGCTTTCCTTTTGCCCCTGCGACTTAACAGTCCTTATCTAGGTATGGCCAATGGACATATTTAGACAAAAGATAGGCCATGTATGCAAATGCAATGCAATGCACCTTTTCTCATTGCTTGACAAATGACTTGGTGAGTTGGCAACAAATACTCGAAAAATGGTTTGGCAATTATCACCTAAGAGATATTTCTATTTATTATTGAGATAATGTTGGTTCAAATTTGGTCTTATAAATAAAGTTGGTAATTGCTAATTATCTACAATATAACCTACCTAATTGGTACCAACGTTTCTTTGTTCTTTTAATTTTTTTATCCATTAATTATTATATATTAGATGAAGATAGAATTATAAGAATGAAATTTGTCTAAGCCCCAATTAAATTTATTGAAAGAAATTATTATTTAACAAATAACTGAAATTTTTTCTACTTAAAAGTGAATGATATATTTTCAATGATTAGAATTTAATTCATATAAATAAAATAAAAAAATTAATTATAATTAATTAAAAATAAAAAAAAATTATACAAATATTAACTTCTATTAATTTTAAATTTAATTAAAAATACACTTATAAAATAGTTAAAACTTATAATTTTTAAGTAGTGGAAGAATTATTACTATTGTAATGTGGCCATCAGTTCTATTGCAAGTTGCAACTTAGAAAAAGATCCAACAAAAAATTTTTAAATTCGTATCTCGTAAGAATTGACTTAACCAAAATTCCAAGTTGTCCGCCCTCTGTTTCGTCATGAATGTCTTAAGAGAGGTGCAACCCCTTTTTTGCATTTACTCGTAGCTGGAATTCAGGCATATCCCACCTAAACCTTTCCATGAGAGATGGGGAGGAAATCTTAGCTGGAAATCAAGATCTTTATCTCATTTTAAAAGCTCTTTAGTCAGTAGGTCAAAGAACTGAGGACCACCTAAACTTTCGTTTCTATTTTTTTTTCAGGAAATTTTTAAAACAAAAAGAATGCCCAACATTCGGATGCATAGAGAACATCAATAGTTGCAATTTCATTCAAAAGAATGCCATAAAAATTCCATATGTCAAAATGTAAATCAAGTATTTGGATTGCGGATGTGGATATACCCCCCAACCCTCCAAAAACAAAAAATTCTGCAACATATGTTAGCTACAGACGTCTGCATACCTCAATTGTCCTTGCAGTTTCTTGAATAGCTTGAAGACAATCTAGATTGCGACTGAAAAAAATCAAATGGAGCTCCTGACCCGAAAGACCTTCTAGTAGAATTTGGTGAATCCGATAGAAGAGGCTCATAAACTGGATTTCTGTTCTTTGGTTGAGTAATTGACAAGGGAGAAACTTCTTTCTCCATCAATCTTGGTTGTGGCTCGATATTGCCTAAACTTAGAATCGGCCCACCCATTCGTTCAGCCTGCTGAAGTGCATTGATTTTACTCGGTCTGTACGTGTACCGAAAGTATTTCAAAGCTAGAACTGGACCCATCCCTGCTGCAACTATGAGCTGTTTAAAATTAAAAAGAAAAACAACAAATTAGCATGAATTTAAAAGCCATGCCATTTGTCAGTCACGCTCATGCACTGGCCACTTGATGAGTGGAGGAATTGAACTCCAATGATCAACTAATCAGACAGGAGATAAAAAGGAAACAGCTTCCCCCCCTATAACATTAAAAGGAAAGCAAATAAAAGGCAAAGCAAAACTTACAAACATAGTTATCCAATAAGACGGTTGCCTACATAACCGGAACATAATAGTGTACATCCCAGATGAAGGAATCGCACTGAAAACCCAATTAATGACATAGAAAGCAACTAAATTCCCCCATATGGCAAGATGTTGCAATATTGTGAAGGAACTGCAAGCACCATATAAAACTCATCAAGTCAGGATATTTAAATCTATTAAAAGTTGTAGTGAAAGGTTTGAAGTAACCATTTCAAAATTTTAGGGCCAAGACCCATGTTCATGGCCTGTCGTTGGTGTGCGCCATGGCAATATAAATGAACAACAAAATAAATCTACCCTTGACAGCACTTGTGGAACAACAATATTTTGCATTGATCCTCAAGCAAGGACAAACTATTGTCACGGGTCAAGACTTAAGCTCCGAACCCGCGCGGCTCCGGGACCCAGGCATTCACCCTTCCGGCATCCCAGATCAGCCTTCCATCACGGTTCACACCCTTGTGAGGTATTATCCGCTCTGGCCCCCCCTGGCCTCACGGTTTTATCATACAAAAGACGCCTCACAAGGCGGAGGTGGTGTGAACCCTTTTATACCCCAGGGACCCTCCTATTATATTCGATGTGGGATTTATGACTCTTCCTTAGGTCCGTGACACTATCACATACCATTTTTATAATTCTCTGTAAGCTGGCCTACAAGATCTCGAGGGAAGGAAAAAAAGAAAAAAAAAAAAAACAGAAATGTGAACATATTTAATGCATTCTGCAGTTTTTGATATGGAAGCATACTTTGTCTCCAATGCCACAACAAAAGCCTGCAACCATATACATCCTGAGAGGGCCACCATAGAAAGTTCTTCCATTTCACTTTTCTCAAAAGCATAAGCATGTATGGTGATCACAAAGACAACAATTGCCTGCAAATCACCGCAAAAACAATTGATGGGGCAATGAAGCAAAATGTTACAAATATATAAATATTCAAATGCACTCCAACATATACAGATCAAATAACAAGCAGAAAATTTTAAACCATGTTGATGAACTATTACTTGAAACCTAGTTACCAGCATATAGATGAAGAAATTCCCAGATATGGTAGGGGAGTCATCAAGCAATCTCAAGTACTTATCCACATAGAACCTCCTTTAAGTAAATAATATCCCCACATCTCTTTCGATCCGTTGCAAGGCACTTCAATTTGGAAAGCCTTTAAGCATTATAAAGAAATGCTTCCCACCATTTATTGGATTTCCAAACTGGACAAGACAAAGTCTCCTATATGTTCCTAACCACTCTAAGCTGCTATTTCAAATTTTAGACTAGCTAATCAAGTTTCTCAGACTTTTGTCAAGGAGTCAGGAAAAAGCATTTTTTGATGATGAAGTTTCAATCACCAGTGTAAGATTTGACTAATGTCATGGATCATTACATGCTTTCAGATTTGTTTCAATTACTTCACGAGTGATACCAATAAAGATGCTTTGATAAAGAACAGCACTCACATGGAACAGAGATCGACCAAACCATCCAGCAAATGTACTTGGATTCAGAAGCCTGTGGCAGAAACAATCCTGTATCAGTTAGATGACCATTAACGAGCGGTCTACATGGTCGTATTACAATGGTCCATTTGGATAGATGATGAGACTGATTCCGATGAGATTGAAAACAATGATGAAGGTAAGATTAGTTACTGTAACAGTGAAATTAAAATCAATGATAAGATGTGTTTGGAGGCAAAAGCAACAGTGGCAATTAGATAAATTGTAATAAGAATAGAAAATTACTATTAAAGACATTATTAGAATAAAAATTTTAAAAGATTTAACAATTTTAAAATTAATAAATAATTATTAAATTATTTAAACAATAGTTTTGTGAATAAATTATTAAAAATTAATAATAAAAAATTAAAAAAAATTTATTTATTTATTAGTTTACTATATAATAATAAAATTTATTTATTAATTTATTATATAATAAAAAATAAAATGATTTGAAAAAAGAAAAAAGAGTTAAAGCATTTTTGCGTTAACATTAAAGTTCTAGGGTAAAAATGAAAAAAAAAAAAAAAAGCTGTGGTGCAATTGGCCACTGGACCTAAAAAGGTTCATTTTAGGTCCGGTGGCCAACCGCCACTGGCCTCACTGCATCGGAGACCCGTTTGGGTCTCCAACGACGGGTGGACACAAAATTTGGTTGCAATCATGGAGGTGTGATTGAATCCAAACAAGGCCTTAGATACAGCCAATTTTCCAGTTCCATATCCTGACACTGTTATGTAGGAAATACAAAAAAATAAAAGGTGAAAAAACAGTAAACCTTCCCGCTTGGCAGTAAACTAAAATTTGTGGATGCTGCATAACAGTTCCTTCACTAAGATCTTTGTCAAGTACACTGACTAGAACAGGAACACTGGTGTAGAAAACATTATAGGCCATCAAGCTAACAGAATTGAAAAGACTAGTTCCAGAGACTCCTGAAATAAAAGAGAAACTGATGTGTTCTGGTGTCAGCAGAAAAGAATTGACAAGCAAGTTTAAGTGGGAATTAAGTACAATGAAAAGCAACAAAGAGAGGAATATTAAATTTAGGAACTCACAAAATTTGGATGAAACATATAACTAGTGACTTATAGAAGGAATACTGGGACAGAAATGCTGTGCGATTGTAGGAATAACGGCCATGAACAAGTATCAATCTTTTAAGAAACCTGAACTCTGAGACCCAAGAGAGGTATTTAGAAAAAGAAAACCAATGAAAGGTAATATGAAAAGATAATCACTTCACATTGAAGAAAAAGAAAAGAAAATAACATCTAAAACGTTAGCTTGGGCATTTGCCTAAACTGAATAGTGTTTAATATATGAACTTATCCGTGCCCAAGCATTTAAGGCAGCCATGATTAATAGCATGCTTGGCATAGTTTCAAACTCTCTTATCAATGTCCATCCTAACACGTTTTATCCACACTATCACACTTCAAAACCGTGAAATAATATATTATCAACAAGAAAGAGTTGTATAATATCCATCTCATCCTCATTAATGTTATATTTCCCTAGGAATCATAACAATAACTTTTCGTATAGAATCTCTCATAATGACAACTTGTTGCCTGAATAGCATATAGGTTATCCAACACAATAAAGGAGTACGATATTTTCAAGTTTAGTCTAGATCCATTACAACTGTCATCCATTACAACTGTCACCATATTCGTAACCCCCAAAAAGAAAATAAACAGAAGACAACCAGTCCTAAAGGTTTTCAAAATATTTAAAATGTTACTTACTTCCAATACTATAATCAGCCGCCCTTGCTGCCTGCAGCCCTTCTCTTCCACTAATGCCGACACCAATATCAGCTTGTTGTATCATTCTCACATCATTTCCGCCATCCCCAATAGCCAATGTTCTATAATCACACGATTTTAAGAGTTCGACAAGCTGCCAAAAGTATCATTTCATTTATATTCAACACTCATCCTTGCCATAAAAACAAAGAAAGACAATAAATAATTAATATAATCTTTATGATTACTGTTAATGAAACACAGCTAGAATATCCACCAATTAAAATAGTAAGGACAAGCTCATGAAATTAAGAACAATGCGGAACAAAACCTAATATTGTAAACAATGTCAATGAGATTATTACAATAAGAGAATTAGAAAACTACCACACACAATATATGTACTTCTAACAAAAGAAGGGTCACAACATATCAGCAATACATAAACATTAGAAGATGGTCTAGCTAAAATATATTAGGCCAATGATAATCTACACTTCATAGTGAGAGGTGATAGCAACTAATAGAGAAAAACAACCAAAATGATGTATTGAAACTCTCAAGTTGTTTCGTCTTTTTTTTTTTTCAAAATTTACATTTATGTTAGTACTTTGAACTCCCAGTATGTATCAGGCCAAGGCATGCCAGTCTTCACTCAATATTGCTTCTTAGAAGCAATAATATCAAAAGGTATTATATCCCCTTGGTGCTTCATGGTAGTACCATTTAATTCTCTAGTCCGCAAACAGAAAGATCTAACTGTTTGTGCAGAAAGGTACCTCCATACGCAAAATGTTGGCAAAAGACACATCAAGCTATAATAACAATATAATGACATGCATGATACTTATTCTGCCCTTACTAATGCTCTTGGTTGTTCTTATAAGCAGATACATGCAGCAAAATACAAGCAGTCTGTCATATATCCCTTTTCTTCTTCACTACTTAGCTTGCGCTTGCATATCAGTTATGAGCCAAGAGTGTTACTTGATGAGACAAAACTGCAGATAACAATCATATTGCAGACTATTATGGGTTAGTGCGCTACATCCTCTTCAAATTTTAACTACGTAACTTATTTTGGTTAGAGAATTTTAGCAATTTGATTTTACATTTTTCCACTATGAAAGTTCCCTTCACAAAGTGGCAAGACTTATTTGCTATGGATCAGCTATCATTTTATAATGTTTTCAAGACATATTATCAGTTACTTCGGAATATCCTAGCACAGCTGAGGAAAAAAAATTAAAAAAGTCAGTCTCCTTGAGCATGATGAATGTGACTGAGGGAGAACATAATCATAAAATCTTCTAAGAAAGTTCTGTAGTTGTAACTTAAGTTGAATATAACAATCCAAAATATATTTAAAATTTTAAAATTAATAATAAAAAAATCAAAACCTGTGCTTTTTGCGATGGTGTAACACGACAACATATAGCAGTCCTTGACAAAATAGCTAATTCTGTAAAAGCTTTCCGGTAATGCTTAAGTGCAATTTCAAGAGCCCATCCATCGACAACAAATGCCACATCCTGCAAGGAATTGGAAAAGTAAAAAATGGGGAACAAGGCAATTGTAAATAAAGCCTTTTGAGTTAAACATTAGACAGATAAAATCTTACCAAAATAGTTCTTCCTGTGAGTATAATAAAATAAATTAAACTCCAAAGACAAGCAATAGAAAGGAACACAGGTTCTTTACAGGATTGTTTAGGGTACCATTTCTTGGTATTAATGTAAGATAGCATGAATTTCAACTAAATACTCAACCAAGAGTGGGAAAATAAAATAGAAATCAACATCATCAGACTAGAGTCACTAGACATAAATCAACTATCCTTTGGTTCTTTATATTTTTTTCATAGAAAGTACACATTGATTCTTGAGTTAGGCATACGTTACATAAGTGACGCTTGTTGTGAGACACGTGTTGTCCTATTCTAGTGACCATAACTTTTGGTAGTAACTTCAACAATTTAGAGTGTATACCTGAGGCACTGAGCTTCATCCTTTAATGGTCTGATTAAATTAACGAGGACCTTAGGTTGTCTAAAGACTGGTATTTTTTGGTTCTTAGCAACACACTATCAGAAACCTAGCCCTTATCTGTGCTTCTCAGATGGCTCTCTCAATTTTTTTTTTTTTTCTGAAATCACAATTCAGTTTAGAACCAGATAACTTCCCCTTGATCAAGTGATTGAAATTCCAATATCAAGTCAATAATTTATTTTTAAAAAATTTAAATACTAAATTTAACTGAAAGTTTTTTTGTTGCAAACACACAAGACATAGCAGCCAGAAGGAAAAAGAACAAAAGAACCCACCACTTAAATTTTCAGAGATGGAGCATTAAGATTTACCTTTGGTTCCGAAGATGTTATCCTCATTGTAAGCAAAACTCTCTCTAAGCTTCTACAAACTTCACCTTCAGTTTTGCCATCAATTAGAAGAAGCTGACCTTTTGGCTCTGATAGTAAGTTTGGAAGGAAGCACAAGGAGGAAACATCATCAACGTGAAATGAATACTGATGACAATCTTCAAACTTTTACATATTCTATTCATTCATTAAAGCAATAGAATTTATTGTGGCACCAATAGGATTGAAACTTACAGCAAAAGACCAATTCTACCACAAAATCACCTAAAAATGTAAAATGACCCCTTTTAAGTAACCCAAACCTCAAAAATTGCCCCCACCAATCCCATTAGATTAACCATTAATCAGGCATGAAACACCAAAATAATAATCAAGTATAACAAGCTTTTTAAAGCATCTCAATAACATAAAAGGAAAAGCCACACAATATCTCAAACTGAAACAAGTTCAGGTATTAAAATTTTGAAGATAAGGCTGAATTCTGATTGTTTATGCTGATATATATTTGTCCCAAACACAAAATTTTATTTTTTATCTTTACCAGAACACATAAGAACACACAGAGGATTTGTAGGTATCTGAAGGGATGCAAGGATGAACGCTGGAGTAGTAGTTGTTCAATCCAACCAACAAATCATTAAAGTAGCATAGTTTCAAACATTTAGGAACCAAGAAAAGTCCTCATTGACCAAGATATTTGAAACAATAATAAAAAAATAATAAAAAAAAGCAGGAGGAAGTCTGAAATATGCAATTAACACAAGGAATTGAGATTTATGAAAATTATATTAATCTACCTGGGGAAATAAAATTGCAAGAAAGAGCAATCTGTATGGCAGTATTCTGCTTGTCGCCGGTCAGCATCCAAAAATTTATTCCTGCTTTCCTGAGTGTCTCGATTGTTTCTGGTACACCATCCTAAAATAATTAAAAATAAAAGGACAGAAAAATGTTAATGTCCAAAATATCCCATGGAAATAACATATATTTGACTTAAAAATATATGGAAAATTTTACACAAAAAAGTTGGATTTAAATAGCTCTACTTCACCTGTAGACGATCCTCTATTGCAGTAACTCCTAGAACCTCAAAATCATGTTCTAATCTTTGGCAGACCTCTGCAATCCTCCACTGCGGAATATTTAACTAGAGGAACTCAGTCACTTGTCACCAAACTTGACCATAAGTGTGGAACAAATAAAAATAAAAAAATAAATAGAACACACAAAAAGATCATTGGATGGTACCCTTTACCTCCCTATCAACCAATGTACTACTGGCCTCTTTGAACATCAAAGACCACTCTTGATACTCATCTTCTTTCAATTCACGCCAAGCTAAGCATAATGTACGAAGCCCCAATTGAGCATATTGTTCTACAGCTTCAACAAGCGCTCTTGTTTGTTGTCCTGAAAAAGAAATGATTTTACCACATAGAAAGCCAACTGATGCAGTAACTGATATCTGTCACCTTTTCAAAAATGAGTATATTTTCTAACATGCAATAACAAGATATTTTATTAGTAATAATTCACAAATTGACATTAAAAAGCCCCACAAACATCTTCCCACCATTAAACATATAAAATATATTAATAAACCAGTAAGATGAGGGGTAAAGCAAGTTTATGCTTATTGATGCATGATCCTGAAATTAAATACAAAAAGAAAAATCAACAAGGAAATCAGTCAAGTCCCCAGAAATGTACAAGGCAGTGGCTCAACAGCATTGAGACCTATACTGAAGATACCCTGTGATAAAGAAAGCAACAACAGAAGCCACCATAGGAAACCTTTTGAATTCTTGCTGCTACAAATTTAGTAAGTCCTTTTATCTGATTACAATGAGGTCCAGACAAGGATTTAAAGAACTACATAAAATAATAAAGAGAGGGTGGCAGACTCTGAAGATAGATTAAAGTTGATACTTTCCCAAAATTATTCTATAAAATATAAGTTCATGACAATGAAATGAAAGGATGAGACTTGACACAAATATATCAGTCAACATGGACTTATTAGAAGATCCATGACTCCAACACCCCATCCTCAAACTGATGCACATGGCAGTTGTGCCAAGCAGGATTGCAGCAATTATTTATGCTTGTGAATCAAAGAAATTCATCACAGAAGAAAAGAATGTACATGCACATTGAGGCAATAATCATCAAATAAATAAATCATGCAGATAGAGCGCCAATAAAGATCTTATCAAAAGAAAATCATGCAGTTACACTACCAATGACCATCAAATAAATAAATTAAATTAGAAAGAATAACCTAATTGAGGCATTATAAAATGCTCTCTGAAAGTCCTTAAGATAAGTAAAAAGATTGAATAAAAAGTATTACCAGCATAAGCATAAGGAAGAATTGCCTCATCTGCGCCCTTTGACAGAAGGACAATTTTTCCATTCTGGCAATCTTTAACAACCACCGACATTCTTTTCCTATCAGAAGTGAACTCCAAAGTCTCCAATACTTCATACTGAATTACTGAACCGTTGAACCTGATCTCTGTACAATATTTAAATAGAGGAAACCATACATAACCATCCCAGAAATCAAGTTCTTTACAGCAAAAAGAAAAGGATTTTACCTAGAATATTTGCATTTTTATTGACATAAACCATGTGCAATCGAGCAGCAGCATTAACAAGAGCATCTTCATCCTGAGATTGTGCCTTGTACAAGATGGCTCCGGTTTTGCTACAGATGATAAAAGCAGATTGGGATGATATGCTTTAGTGAATTTATTGCTATAGTATTTTGAAATTAAGTGTAACCTAAGATACTGGTAGGTAGGTCTATCTCAAAATTGCAGCTAAAGTTCTAACAAGATAGAAAGTGGAATCACCTCTTTATAGGTATAACAGTATTACATATAGCCATAACTGTGAGAAACCGAACAACATCAGGAGAGCTACCAGCAACAGCATTAAGCAGCTTCACATCTAAGTGCCAGCAGCAAAATTAATCACAATCAAAGTTTAAAATGTTTACTTGAAAATTATCCTCAATATATGAAAAGTGAAAACGAAAAGTAACACGACAACTGATTTAAAGATCCTCCAAATGAATTTCAAACTATTTCAAGCATAGTAACAAGCATAAAATGTTAAGAATATCAAGCTCAGCTATCTAAATGCATAAATTTTGCTTCAAGTCAATTATGTTACTTCCAAGTATAAATACCAAAATCATAAAGAATAACAAATTAAAGCCCAAAATTTGAAAGATAAATCAGACTTTACATTAGGAAGATGGATAAAATTATTTTCAGTAGTACATTTCTAACTGATGTAATTAATAAATTGTCAAATACTGCTTAAAGCGGTCAAATATTTTCCTTCCATAACTTATGGGTCTGGGGCAAAATAGATGTGCAGAATTGCTGAAAGCCTGAAACACTACATTGCACCAGCAGCTAGCAGCGACGTGCTGCACAATGAAGTATCAGAAAATGTAGAAAATAATCATGATTCATGAAAGAGTTTACTTACTAGAACTGACATGCAAGCTTCAATATTACTTAGTCATATTCTAAAACAGTACAGGAAAATCTATTTATTAACTCTAGTAAGATTAAAATTCATTCCCATTTTTGGACCCCCCTCAATAATAAAACATCATCTTTTATCTGAGCCAGAGATAAAAAAGAAAAATTGCCCGTGATTATTTCAATGAAGCAACAGGAAAACATATTTGCAGAAGACAATCCTTTTCATCATTTTCTGCAGGGTTTTCAGAGGGAGGATACATTGATTAACTTCGTTTGACAAGCAACTCTGGGTAGAAATTTATAAAGCTGCCTCATGTAGAAAGGTATGCAGGTGACATAAAGATGAAACATTCATTTAACAGAAATGAAAAACTAGAAATGGAATAAGCAACGAGAAAAGATGAGGCAACAAGCAAGAATGTAAAAAGTAGATAAATAAACCTTTCAATGCATCACCACTCTCATTTCCATAGAAAATACCACTAATGCAACATCTTCTAAAGATCATTCTATTTTCAGTAAGGGTTCCGGTTTTGTCAGTCAGTATATACTCAACTTGTCCAAGGTCCTCACTTATTGCTGTGCTGCAACATAAAAACAAACCGATCTTAATAAATAAATAAATGTATATATGCAAGCTAAATTAAGTTTCATACACTAGAATCTGTGGCACAAACTAACAATGTAGCTACATAATTGTATAAATTTCTTTTCAAAAATGGTTTTCTATCTAATAAACTGTTAGTTGCAAAAATAACTTAAAAATATAATAAGAAGAAAATAAGAGATAAGAGTCATAAAAAGTAACATCAAAAAGAGAATTAAGAGAGAGAGAAAAAAAAAAAGGAAGAAATAAAGGTTTGGTAAACAAATTGTAAAGGCTCCAACGCAACTTAAACATTTGAATAGATAATGTTTAGTTTGAGTGACACCAACTCAGCTACCCGCTTCATATACTAGGATAGACACTCCAGCTCAGAGATTTTCTTGAAAAAATAGTCTTACTTTGTTGCATGTGATGGAATACCAGTATCTTGGTCTATCATCTCAGAGTCCCAATCAATAAACTTCGCATATAAACTCTTCACAAGATCCAGAGACACCTACAAAAGAAAATACTCTATGGCTAACAAGACAAAATATCTGAAAAAGAACTCCTCAAATATAGAAAGAAAATAATTGAAACAGATAAGTCAAGATTAGGAGTAACAATGCATAAGGATGTTTAAAATGAACAATGATATTCCCAACTATTCCAAAACTTAAGCTTAAAGTAAAGAAACTGACCATCTACCAATCACCCAGCCTAATAGTAAATTAGTAATAGAAAATAAACAATTAATCCAAGTGCTATTAACTTGGACCATCATTACAATGGCATGTGTCTATAATAAGTTTAAACTAGAACTGGTGTCTGACACCCACTTGGGTTTCTATTAACAATCACATGATTGAACAAAAACATTTCTACCCTTGTCCTACTAGGTTTTGTATTTATGTGCAATATGCATGAAACTAAAACATTTCTACCTTACTACTGTTTTAAATCAACCAGCTACATACATTGTACAAATTTAAGTCTGCAAGTTAGTTAAGTGATGCACTCTAATCATGTTATAAGTATGTCATGAGCTATTAATATTTTAATCCCAAAGCTCACATCACTGTTGCACCATTGCTTTGATCTAGCTTTAACAATCTCTACCTTCCATGCAAGAGGACGACAGTTCTTGCGAAGAACCTTCTATGGATATTAGCAGCAAGGCAGTTGCTCTTTTTAGTACAATCCAGGTTCACACCACCAAAACAATAAGGGCAACAATCCAAAATCATTAGCATTTTTAGATTAGATTACCTTAATAGATATGGGTATCATGATGGAACACAGAAGCTCAAAACGAAGAGGAATGACCAATAGCTCATACCATGGACCTTCAATTGGATATAGCACGTACCATTGCTGCAACAAGAAATACAAGCAAGTGGGCATTGTTACGAAGTTAACACACTGTAACACAATTTTTTTTTGGGGGGTGGGGTGGGGAGGGGCGAACCACAGGCACGAATGGAGTAAAGGATACTGAGCAGCAAGAGAATTTGAAATGAATAAAGCTAGAAGAGTTACAGAGGTGTCCAACGGCTGGACCACCTGCCCCGGAACATACGTCCAGCCTGACTGGGTCAGGCTTGGGCCTAGGTATTTTGGCCCAGGCCAGCCAGCTTAACAGGGATTTTTTTATTAATAAATTATTTTATTTAATTTTAAATCTAATTATATTTTAAAATATTGAAATATTAATATAAAAATGGTCCTTTAATATTTTAATAATAAAATATTATGTAAAAGGGCAGGTTGCTTTAAAAATGTGGACACACCTCTAACTTATAAACTCCAAAATTAAAGGCCTAGATAAAATCACACTGCAGAGGAAAAAGAGTACAACCCTGCCTAGAGCATAGCATATACCAAAATATTTTTATTGTGAAACCCACAATTTTCATCCCCGAACCATGTGATCTTATGCCATGATCCAGCCTTTAGGTCATTCCCTTAAAAAGAGCCAAGGCCAACTTCAAGGATAGCAGTAAAAAGACTAAGCCAAATAGTAACTTTCGTACAAAAAAAAATAAAAAAATCCCTACAACTAAAAAGAGAAGGCTAATATAAATTCCTGTTCCGTTGGAAAGTATAAAGTTCATGCAAATTCATATTGAGTTTAGGGGAAAAAAAGAAACAAAATGTGATTGTCTACCGAACCTAAAAGGTTAAATATATGATTAATGATGGTAATAACTGGACAAGAAGACAAGAAACTCAAGCTAGCAAGTTGCAATTTCCAACAACCTTTCTTGCTTCTGTATCCTTCCACACATTCCCGGCTATACCAAGAACCATAACAACCACTATCTGGAAAACAAATATTGCCCCAGTTAACTTGTCAATCATGGCATCCATGGCCGTTAGCTTTGGCTCCGGTATGCCCCTACTCATACCCAATTTAGTTTCATTTCCTGAAAAATGGAAAAAATAATTCAAAAATGGAAGAACAGATGTTAACACCATCAGAATGACAAATGAAGCAATCGAATGAACTAAGGATCACAAAAATAATTTTTCAAAAATCAGAGTGTAGAAAACTGAGGAAGCCGGTTGAGGAAACAGAACAATGCAGAAACATACACAAAATAATAAAACAAACATGTTGCAGATAGTATTTAGAAGTAAATAAAATAAAAAGAAAAGCTATCACTTTATCAGTGCATTTGTCAAAATCTCATCAACTAGCACATCCATGTGGTGTTAAAGTCATGTTAAAAGAAGAAAGTTAGTGCTAGGCTGCAGATAATTATATCTGAGGCAAAATGTGCATGTTTACCAAAGATACTAACCAATATAGGGAGAAAAACAAAATACAATTGTACTACATCCTAGGATGTTTGTATGAAACACTGTCAAAATAATGATTTCTTGAAGCAAAAATCTCCTCATAAAATGATTGAATACTAGATGAAGCTTATTTACCAGTGCCCCTCAGAGGCCACCAGAAAATTACTCAAACATAATGATATGCTTCAGAACTCAATCTCTTTGTGGGAACAGCTGCCAAAGCACATTAAAAAATGACCACAACCTGTATTTTACATGTTCATAAATACCAAGCAGTTCCACACAACTAAAATGACATGAGTCTCAATATGATGTATAACTTATCCTCAATGATACCGTTGACATGAATCACCCATCAAACGAACACATTTTGCTTACTAATTCTTTTGTGTAACCATGTTTACATTATATCTATGACCTAGTCTTCTGTATCTCAGCTCTTTCTCATAATCTTTTAGCTTCTCCCTACACCATCACTTAGACATTGAGGGAAAAAGAATGAATAATACAGAAGAATGATAAATTAATGATATGATTTATCTGTGACCTTGAAATTTCATGTTATAGGAACTTGCCTGTGTAGACAGCTACTCCACAAGCCCATTCTGTGTTCCTCAGGTAGCATGACTGAAGAAGTGTATTTTTTATGGTTAAAGGACACAAATCATTATCAATAAATGGAGGAAACAAACGCAAATTAGCATCAAATCTTCTAATATCCTTATCCGGATTTGGACACTCAATAACACCCTGAAAAAGAAGATAGAACATGTAAAGATCAAAATTAAAAATGTGTATGTGTGTCTAATACACACAAAAATTTTGGATTTATGACTTAAAAGAAATCTCACTTTGATTTTATGCAGCAATTCAAAATCCATTCCCATGCAAGCAGAGGGTATTACCCTTGTCTTTAGATCAGTTTCGCCATCAAGGGCAGCAGTCTGCAAGATGATTTTTACTGTCAGTCGGTATAAAAGAATTAAAAGTAATATTCATATACACAAAGTGAGCATTCTTAACAGTCTTATATGCTAAGGATCTTCTCTTTTTTGACATTAAGAGCTAGGCTTCGTGTTAGTTCCAATTACATTTCTAGTAAAAGTTTAATCTGTACATTTCAATACAACAATCTTCCCGAATTAATTCAACATGCTCAGGCTTTAAAAAGAAAATGAGAAGAAATCATATCCTGATTTAAATTTTCTTATATCTGAATGGCTATCAAAGTCAGAATACCAAAGGTACTCAAATCTATTCATTCAATCAAACAGAACCTTTCCAACAGAAGCTCTCTTTCTCAAGTTCACATAATTCTGTTGTTATCCAAATTTTAGGTGTCCTTCCCTGTCCACGCCGATAGTTCAACCATGAATTAATATTTACAGAATTTTACAATTTTTAAAAAGTCAGATATTCACCTCAACATAGCAAAGGCCTTGTGTATCAGAGGTACCAATCAAAACGAGATCACATGGAACTTCATCATTCTCACGAAGCCACACTATATTACCAACATGAATATCCTGTGCTTGGATCTGCAAATGATTGTCACAACCACAAATGAAACAAAAAGAGAAAGCAAGCAGTTAGTTTTACAAAGTTTAAAAGGAAAAATGAAGTAAGTAATCCTAAAGCAAGAGGTCATTCAACTTTAAAGTAAAACAAAAACACCAACTAATAGCAATCATGTTGACTAATCGCCAAAAATTCAAATTAGTACATAAGTTTTTCTCAAATTTCAAATAACCAAATGAAAAAGAATATTAGAAATTTCCCTTACATGTTTCCTGATACCCTGCCTAACAACCCAGATGTGTTTCTCATTTGCTTTCTTGTCAGACAAATATCTATTGTAATCATCCCATGCTTCTTTCGATGCAGAGACAGCAAATATAAAAATTAGTGGACCCCATGTACTGGCAGGATTTACTGGAGTAATTAGCGACCATAACTGAAGGCAAGCAATCAATAAGAAATATTGGTTCATGAACCGGCTGAAATGAGAAGAAATAGAAATGTTAGAAAGAGTGGCTAAGCCTGAGAAATGCATAATAGATAAAACTTTCAAGCAGGAAAAAAGAATGATGTCCAGCCAAAATACATTATCATGCGCCATTGATTAATGAATCGACAAATGCATTAGAAGACATGAAAGAGTATCTAAATAGGACCTTTCAGTCATGTTATGCAGCATTTTTAAAAGAATCAATGACTAGTTTGGCAGAAGGTATGAATTGATCACTGTATAAGCAAAATAATACATATGCACAAAAAAGATGAGCATAGCAAACAGTTGATCCTGATAAGTCAACAAAGACAACCTTTGTTTATTTAGCTTATGGAACCAAGGAAAGCACAATGTTAATCAAATTCGGATTACTAAAGAAATCTGATGGCAGAAAAAAAATTATAATAGAAAAGAAAATTTTGTACGATATACCTGAACTGCTCCCATAAATTTTTAGGGAGAAAGTTCAATACAGTATATTTTCTGTTTGAAATTCGGTTGTCACAGTAAAGTTCTTGTGATGATTCATCATCATTAATGTAAACAAATCGCTTCATTGTTGCCTCAAGAGCAATCAATGGCAACTCTCAGGTTTCCCCACAAGTTCATTACAGAACTCAATAACAGTAAGGAGCGCTGTCACTTAACCTGAAAAAGAAAAGTAGATAAAATTATGATAGTAGAAGCAATTTCACGATAATTTTTCCCTTTTTTTCTAATTCTACAGGAAACGCAACAACGAAATAAACAAAATGATAGAACCAGTTCAATAAATTGCACATCACATCGGTAGAATCTTCATTCATTTAGCTTAAACCAAGATTTTTCAAGTTATAATTTTATCTTTTAAAAATAAGACAAGATCAAAAAATATAAAATTCTGCAGTAAGGCGTTAATTGGTTCGATGAATGAACCGTCAGATTGATTGAAATCTTGATTAAATTGTTAATATAAAATTTCAAAGAAATTCAACCAGCCTTTTGCGAACAGTTATTTGACATCCAAGATTTTGAATCATTATTTTGAAATTTTAACGGAAATTACGAGAGATCATACCTTTTTTTTAAATTTCTTGTTGATATTTGTGTCCTCTCCCTTCTTCTCCTTCTTCGTAATCCCCGGGCTCGGTCTTTGCTCTCTATTTTGCTAATTTGCTTGAAAGAAAAAAGGGTAATTATTACGTGTATGCGGTTCCACTGTCTCAACTTTGTGCATCCATGTTCTCCGTCATATAATTATAAATCCCCTTTTTGGCCATCTTATATGTGTCAACGTTTTAATGGCACCAATTTTTTATTTCATAGAGACGATTCTGTGTTAGTTATCACGGAATTTACTTATTATCTTTATTAAAATTCCGAATTTAGAAAAAAAAAGTTAAAATTTTATAACCTTTATTAATTAAATAATAATAATAACAACAATAATAATTAAGGTTTAAATGATTAAAGCAACAATATTTTCCTTTCTTAATTGGTTTTTTTTTTAATCTACCGTTGAATTTTATCTTTATATTTATATGATTAAAAAATATTATGCATATAAATTTTTTTGAATTTATAATTTTTAGACATTAACTCTAATATTATGTTAATTAATTCAAAATTAGTTGACTTCTTGACTGGCTTTTTAAGAAAACCATACTTATATAAAACAATTTTTATCAACCTCATTTGAACAAAGTTAGATAAATAATTGGCAATCCATTAAAAAAAAAAAAGAATTCATCTTGATAAAAATGGTAGCAAATTAACGTCAGACAAAAATAGCGAGAAGATTCTATACATATACATAAAATTGTATAACATATTGGATAGACGGTCAGTTAATTAATATTCAAGGAATAATGGAATATCCCTTTTACTATTCTCATATCCTTTCAAATTAATATGAAGAACATAGCTATTTTTTTTTTTTTTTGTTTAATAATAGAATATTTATTAATAAATCTATATAATAAAATATCTATAGATCCAATAACATGCAGTAATTTTTCAAAAGAAGTTTCTACAAAAAAAAAACGACAAGATCTTAGTAAATTTAGTTTACATTAAAATTTTTTAAATTGATATGGGATTCAATCCCTATATAAAAAAACTCAATTCCTAGCTCAAAAAGACGAGAAGCAACACAATTAGCAATCATCAAGCAACATAATTAGCAATTATCAGATAACACAAAGCTTAGAGTTTTGAGAGAAAAGTTCTCAAGTGGAAGGAGAAGAAAAATCAATATATAATTGAAATGAGAGATCCCAAGAACAATAGGCAATTCAATAAGGCAACAAGCAATTGAGTAATCAACAACAATTAAAAAGAATCGCAAAGCAAAAAAAAAAAGTCATACACATAATATTAAAGCAAAAAGAGTTAAGCAAAAAAAATTTTTTGGTAATAGGCTTTATTTTTTATTGGTCCAAGAGTATTAGTAAGACTTTCTTTTATTTTTATTTATTATAGTGTTATATTTATTTGTTGTGGTTTGAAATAATAATTGTGATAATAATTCTTTTATGAAATTATTTTGTTTTGCTTTTTTTTTTTACTTTTTTATTTATCTCTATATTTATTCATTTTGTGTTTTTTATTTCTATTTTATTTTTTACCTATTCATTTATTGATTTAATTGATGAAAATAAAATTTTAATTAAATTTTTTAAAAAAGTGTAAATATATTATTTTATAATTAGAAACTTGTAAATATGTTTGTATCATTATTTGTAATTAATATTTTTAAATAAATAAAAAGTATGTAAATAAATTGTATTGTCATAAGATATTTAATAAATTCGATGAAAGAACCTTTTCAAGTAAACAACAAGTTTATCTTAAATACTTTTGAGGTGAAAAAAATTTTTTTGGTGAAAACCTAAAGACTTTTTTTTTCAATATTTAAATATTGAAATTAATAAAAAAAACTATTTTTTATTAAGCCATGACTAGATAACAAGTGATTAATTTGATACTAATTTTGGGCATCGTGGGGTTGCTAAAACCTTCCCTACACATAACTAACTTTTAAACTTAGTATATTGATGTAAACCAAAACCTATTCTTTTTAGTACCTTAGTTAAGCTTAAGATAACCTTAAAAATGATAAATTCATATAAGTGGCCAATCACATTTAGATTAAAAAAAAATGGTGGTGACTCCATTTTTTTGTATCTAATGGGCATGTTCTTAGACTTGAATATTATGACAAAGAGGTTCGTGTACACAATTATGAATTCTTTTTCTTTAAGCTTTTCTCAATATGCTTTGCAACTGACCTTTTTCTTCTTCCAACCCTAACCTCAAACATTTTCATTGACTTGAGCTTCGGACTGCGCCTTAGAAAACCAACTCTAGCACCCCCTTATCATGCTTTTTTGTTGCAAGTTCTGACTGTTCTCTCAACCACCACCCATATCACCATCAGAGCTCTTCAGTTCGTTACCTCTTAAAACACAATTAGTAGGTACCTATAAAAAGTAAAAAAAAAAAAATCTATAGTACTTTAAAGTCTAAACACATATTACATTAAGCATACCACAAAAACAAAAGTGCTTCTATTTGCACCTTAGTTTTTCTTTCCACACCTTTTTTTTTTAATTATCCTTAAATGAAATTATGTAATTATCTTTTTTACTCATAAATTTAAAAGTCTCTAAATATGCATGTCGGGTAAATTTTATAGCTTACTAGATATGTGTATCCGATAAGTTATAAAACTTACCGAAACTACTCTCCACACTTTTTTTAAAATTATTTTTAAATGAAATTACTTAATTATTATTTTTTATCACATTTTTAAAAGTATCTGGATATGCATGTCTGGTAAATTTTATAACTTACCAAATAACATATCTAGTAAGTTATATAACTTACCAAATTTTCATATATAGTAAGTTTAAAAAATACATTTAGAATTTAAAGTTTAGGGTTTTTAACAAAACCTATCTAATTAGTATCATCTTGATCTAACAAAGAAATTTTAGCTAATTTTTTATAATTCCAACAAAACCTAAAAATTAAATTGAGGAAAAAACCTCATATCTTGAAAATTTTCCATAACATTGTAAACAAAAAGTACAATTTATTTCAAATAATTATAAGCCCTTTATAAATTAATAGATAAAAGCTATAGCTTCAATAAAAAGAGCACTCGATTACAACATGTAGGTCTTTAAGTTTCTTTTTTATTTCAATGATCAGGGATGAAAACCTTTTAAAGCTTCTGAATATGTGAATTTGAAAACTTTTAAAAGTTTTCATATTTACAAATCCGAAAGCTTAAAAGTGAAAGAGACTAGTTTGAAAAAAGATACTTAAGTAATTGCATTTAAAAAATTAACAATAAAAAGAATGGTGTGAAAAAGAAATGAAGGTGCTACTAAAAGCACCCTAAAAATAAACAAAACACTAAAAGGGTAGAATTTGTAAACTATCATTCATTAATGAATATCAAAAACAAAAAAAGTTTAAAAGAGAATTACCAATTGCAACTATAAATGAAAAAGTTGAGAATCTCAAACATTGTTTGTTGCCACTACCGGAAAGCCTTTTCTTGTCAACAAAATTTGTTATTCAACTCATATATATTTTAACCATCAATTATACAAAAAATGTTACAAAATATATAAAAATGATAAAGTAAATTAAAAAAAGATATCAATTTAGCTATAAAATGACTTAAGGTAAGGTTCTAAAATCAATAGCATGGTTCTATACTTAAAAGAATCAAAAGGCCATACATGTAGTGTGATACCTCAATCTCACATCAGAATATTCTAAAAATCTACTATGATATCTAAGTAGATACTTAAACCCATACTTGTGAATTACCTTTTGTGGGATAAAACTGTGAGACCTTCAGGTTAAAATGGATAATACCTAGCAAGTTAGTATGAGTATCCATAAATGGTATCAAAACAGTCACTACTCAAACAAAAGTTAAGTGCTCACCATGTAGGCCATCTCTAAAATTTCGAGAGAGTTAAGTGCTATATGATATGAGCCATTTTTAAATCCCAACATGTGATCTTGGTTCTGTATTTTTGTGTATGCTTTATGTTGGACTTGATGGGGACATCAAGCTTTAATGATGAGAGTTTGTGACACCCTTAATCCTTCTTCAAAAAGTTTTAAAGATTTGTCATGATATATAAGTCAAGACTTAAATCTATATTTATGAGATGTCTTTTTTGAAACAAAATTATGAAACTTTCAGGTCAAAACAGATAATACCTTATAAGTTAAGTGTGGATTTTCACATCTAGCAATTGATTGCTAAGTATGGGAGTAGACAACCTTAAACTTCTACGAAGAGCAATTGACTACTAAAGGTTTGGAATCAACTACTTTGATATATAAAATCTAAGTACGATTTTCATATAAATAGCGGTTGGTTGTCGGCCTAAAGTAATCAATTATTATATATGGCTAGAAATAAATTTAATTGACTCCTAACTCTAATGGAATCAATTACTATGGTTTAAGAGCATTTTGGAAATTAATTTAGGGCTTAGTAGTCAATTGCTATAAAAAAAAAGTTGATTGCCCTATTAATGCAACCATTCTAGAAATTGATAGAAATTGACTACTATATGAAGCAATCAAATGCTCATGTGTCAAATGCATTCTGTCGACTACTCTGAGGAATCGATAATCCTACTTCAGATAGCATTCTGAAAAATAAATTTATAAAAGGATAGTTAACAATTTTTTAAGTAGAATCGACTACTTTATATGAAAAGTTACAATTTTTAGAAATGTAAAAACTAATTTCTCTTGGTATGAAATTTTTAATCAATTTAATGAATCAATTAATCCTTAATTATTTAGAAAGATATCTTAATTGTAATCAAAATGGATGATCTTTGATTGAAACAAAATAATCATAGAATCACAACCTTAAAATTTAATCTTTATAAATAAAGATTATTTTGGGTTCATTTAACCCATTCAAAAATTCAGATTGTAAACACCTCTTTTAGTTTGTGGTATATTAAGTTCCAAAATTTACATCTTGTTCATTAATAAATTCAGGCTTTTATTTGGATTTCAATTTGGCTTATTTAAAGTTTGAGTTACACTTTGATTTTTGACCGTACAAATTTAGACAATAAAATTTTAGTTGGGTTTGGTCGAGGCCTAGTTTTGTTTCCATTAATTTCTTTTCCATTTTCATTAAATTTTATTGAGAAAATCCAAAATAGATAAAAAAAAAAAAGAAAACATAAAACAAAATTAAAA